GCTAGATATATGCCCAAAGAAAAAAAGGTCATTTTATAAAAAGGACACAGGCACTCAAATGTTTATAACATAACAATTCACTATTGCAAAGACATAGAAGTGTTCACCAAAACATGAATGGACTGATAAAATATAGTATACGCATACCACGGAGGACTACTCAGTTATTTAAAAAAAAATAGCCAGTCTAGTATATTTTGTGAAAACCTGGATGGAACTGGAAACCATTCTTCTAAGTGACACATCACAAAAACGAGAAACGAGCACAGGTAGGCAATACCCAATTGGAACGAATTGGTCAGCACTTCAGTGCACAAATGGAGGCAAATCTCAGTGAAAATATCAAGCAGGAAGGAGGGGATTGGTAAGTTCACACCCATTGGGCGGAGGGTGCACAGTGCGTGCTATCAGGGTGAAGGGCACACTTATAACTTTGACTCCGTCTGAACAAAAACAAAGTATGTAAACAAAATGTACCCCCAACTATTGTGAAAATTTATTTAAAAAACTAACAGAATCAAAGAAACTTTTCCACACAAAAGGAAGGATTGGAACAATATTCCTGGAGTATACAAATTTGGAAAGTTTTCAATATGAAATCATGTAAATGAAATGATACATTGGATGACTAATTCATCTGTTCATGAAATAATGTAGGATGACTAGGGTCATTACTATTTGCAAATAAGAAAACCACAATAAGTCCAAGGTCCTATGTCATGGGAAAAGAAATGTGTACAGGTAGTACAGCGGGGGTCAGTACACTTATAAAGCTGACCTGAAAACAGGCATGATTTTGACTGTGATAGCTTCTTCTCCCTTCCAAAGAAAGGGGCACCAAATTAGAATTCAGCAGTTCAGATTCTATCTGCAGCTCTGGCACTGATTAGCTGACCGTGTTCCCCCAGCTAACTCAGTTAGTATCTCAGCTCCTTCTTTTACTCATCTAGGAAAGCTGAATACGGAGCAGGAATAAAGGGCAAAGGGTGGAGGTGCACCAAATAAAACGTATGCTCAAGGTCTAAGAGTTTTGAAGTATATGATGTATAGATAAATAAAATACAAAATAATTTATTTCATTAATCTCTTTAAGACAAAATTCATGGTGCATAGTTTTTTCCTTTGAACCACTGAAAATGATCAATATAAAGAAGGAATTAGGTATTGGATAATGCCAATTTCCACCTGTTGAAATTACTGTTGAACAGTTCAAAAATTATACGTACTTTCCAGAGGCTCAAAATGCTGAATAACATGTATGTGGTCCAGCTGTGGGGATAGAAAACAATAATTAGAAGAGAGAAAGGACAAAATTAAATCAAGCTAGCTGTAGAAAAGAAGTTGCTGAGATAAATATTAGTTTTAATTTATACCAAAACAAAACATCCTTTTGAAGATTAATATAGTCCAAAGAGCTTTACAAACTGAAATTAGCTTATTTGCATCCGATTACATTGATATTAGCAGAGCTGTCCACATAAAACACTTTCCTCCAGTTTCACTTTAACAACCAATTGCCTGATATGTCAGAGAAACAGCTACTTGCTGTAGTAAAGCATCTAGAAGAAGCTGTGCCTACGTAGATCATTCCCAGATCAGTCCCTACTCAGCCGTCTCTCTGAAACACAGTCCTTAGAGAGAACTTAACCTGGACCAACCATAGAGAAGGAAATTTTCCTATTTGGAGACATATTCAGGTAAGGGGGCTGAAACATGTCTTCCGGAATATCAAAAGTTGGTATCAAAATGATTAAAGTTCCTTTTACAAGTCTAGGATATTAAAATACAGAACGGAAAAGTAAACATATTCACTGCAGGCATACATGAGATATTGCAGGGTCAGTTCCAGGCTAGTGCTCTAAGGCAAATATTGCAATAACATGAGTCTCACAAATTTTTTGGTTTTCCATTGAATATAAAAATTATGTTTAACCTATACTATAATGAGTTAAGTGTGGAATAACATTATGTCTAAAAAATGTATATGCCTTAATTAAAATACTTTATTACTAAAAAGTGCTAACAATCATCAAGCTTTCAGCTAGTCATAAGCTTCTTAAATAAGAAAACAAGAAAGATTATGACACTGACTGATTTCTCCTTCCATCAACAATTTCCCCATAGCATGGGATGCTATTTAATGGCATTTTATGTATCAATTTTACCTATTCAATCATGAGATTGAAGCGATTTAGTCACAAGTTCAGAACCCACTTCTAATTCTAATTTTCTTGTTATTTCTACCCTGTCTTTGTTCAATGAAGTCTTGAATCTCTGAAAATCACTTAAGAGGGCTAGAATCAATTTCTTCAAAATCCTGTTCAGACTGATTTTGACCTCCTGTTTTGACCTCCTTTCATGAGTCATAAATGTTCTCACTGGCATCCAGAATGGTGAATACTTTTCCAAAGGTTTACAATTTACTTTGTCCAGATACATCAAAGAAATGACTATCTCTTGCAGCTCCAGCCTCAAAAATGTATTTCTTAAATAATGACACTTAAAAATTGAAATTATTTCTTGATCCATGGTCTGAATAATGGATGTTGTGCTAGCAGGCATGAAAAGAACATTAATCTCCTAGTACTAGTCCATCAGAATTCTTTTTTTTTTTCTTTTTGGGCAGTCTGACTCTATCACCCATGGCATCATCATAGCTAACAGCAACCTCAATCTCTTGGGCTCAGCCTTCCAAACAGCTGGGACTACAGGCACCCGCCATAATGCCCAGTTAGTTTTGCTATTTTTAGTAGAGACATAGTCTGCTTTTACTCAGCCTGGTCTCCAGCTCCTGAGCTCAAGCAATCCACCTACCTGGGCCTCCCAAAGTGCTAGGATTTCAGGTATACGCCACTGCTCCCGGCCTTCATTAAAATTCTTAAGTCACCAGGTACACTGTCAGCAAGTAATAACATTTTGTAAGATTTGTCTTTTTGAGGAGAAGGTTTCAACAGTGGGCTAAAATACTGAACTAACCATGTTTATAAACAGATGTGCTGTCGTCTGGTTTTTGATATTTCATTTATAGATCACAAATTAGCTGAGGTGCCCTAGGGGTCCTCATAAACCTAGAAAGGGTATATGAGCATTGACTCAACTTAAACTTACCAGCTACACTAGCCACTAATGGGAGAACCTGTGCTTTGAAGCTAGGCACTGACATTTCTCTCTAGCTATGAAATCCTAGATGGCATCTTATTCCAATAGAAGGCTGGTTTATCTACACTGAAAACATGGTTTCGCGCAGCCACCTGTATGAATTATCTTAGCTTGATCTGAATAACTTCCTGCAACTTCTACATCAGCACATGCTTCATCGTGCACTTTTTATATTATAGAGATGGTGTCTTTCCTTACACCTCATGAGCCAATCTATATTAGCTTCAAACTTTTCTTCCCCTGTTCTATCAGCCTTCATGAATTGAAGAGTTAGGGCTTTGCTGCAGATTAGGACTGACTTTAAAGAAGTGTTGTGGCTGTTTTGATCTATTCAGAGCCCTAGAACTTTCTCGTATGTCAGCAATAAGGGTTTCTTACTTCATAAACGTTTGTGTGTTCACTGGAATAGGAGATCTTTCAATTTCTAAAAAGAAATTTTTTCTTTGCATCCACAACTTGGTTAAATGTTTGTACAAGAGGCTCAGCTTTCTGCCTGTCTTGGCTTTCAACATGCTTTCCTCGCTAAATCTAATCCTTTCCAGCTTTTTGATTAAAAGTGAGACCCATGAAAATTTTCCTTTCACTGGAACATTTAAAAGCCATTTTACGGTAATTAATTGGCTTAATTTCAATGTCATTGTCAGGAAAGAGAATGGATCAAAGAACAGGAGAAATGGAGGAATGCCCAGTTGATACCACAGTCAGAACACACAACATTCACGATAGTAACATCAAAGACCATGGAGCACCATAACAGATATAATGACAATGTCTGAAATAATGCAGGAATCACCAACATGTGACACAGACGCACAAAGTGAGCACACGCTGTTGGACAATGGTGCTCATAGACTTGCTCGACTCAGGGTTCCCACCAACCTTCAATTTGTAAAGAAAACACAATTTATGCAGGATGCACAATAAAGTGAAGCACAGTACAACAAGGTTGTACAACATGCCCGTATTTGGGGAATGTGTCCATTGCACAGCAATTCTGAAGAATTGATGCCTGGAAATATAGAGCAAATGCCCAAAGACGCCCTGTCTGTAAAGGGGCAATTCTTTGACAAGTTGATAGAGTCACTGGCAAAGCCAATACTCTGAAAACAAAGTACCCCTCCTACCAAGGAAGATAAGGAGTCTTGGTAGCCTCGATAAGATTCATGCACTCTGTGTATATCTCAAAAAGACTTGGTAGAGGAAAATGATGAGTGCTAGTCCTCCCATTCACACCATAGGAGTTAGTTTAGCTGATAACATCCCCATAGCGATTGCTCATAGGGTTAATTCTAAAATATTAGGCACATTTCAAGCATCAACTCATTTAAAATTCTCATAACAACCTGGTGAGCTAGGTTTTGCTGGTACTACTCCATAGATAAAATTCAAGCACTGAGAGACTAAGAAAGTTTATCAAAGTTTTAACCATATCAAGGAGTAGAGATAGAATTAAAAAATCAGGTTTGTCTGGACCCGCACCTGCGTCCTATGTATTTCTTTTCTCATTTTTTAAAATTTGAAACATTCCTGAAAGGGCAAATAGGACTCGTAAAATATGTTAATTTAACTCCGTCACAATAATAGATATTGTTTTTTAATGTTTACATAAACAAAGCTATACGATTTTAAAATGGAAATGACTCAAGAAGGTATTAGATTTCCAGGAATGATTTCTACTTTTTTATCAAGTACAAAAATGAGACTTTCTACATTTGACTAACAATAGACATTTTACAACCTTCTGAAATAACATAGGGGTTAACTCGAGCACTTCATCTAAACGACTGGCTTTGGATTTTGTCAATATTTTGTCCAAATATTAACTGAATGAAAAATGCGGCTCTTGAACAATCCAAATTTTTATTATCCAATGGTAATGACTCGCATACATCAAGACTGTAATATTGTTCAAATAGTTTTCAACAAATAGAATTAACCAGGTCCCTATGAAGGTATAGAATTAAGCTCCAAGGAATACTTGGTTTTCTATGTGGGGAGACAAATATTGAATTGGGAAGTTCCTTACTTATAATATATCCCAATACTTCCTTTTCCAAAAGGAAAGTAAGATTCAGAAGTTGATAAGAAATCTCCCTCCAATACAGGGGACACTTCCCAAGATCCCTAGTGGATGCCTGAAACTGTAGATTGTACCAAACCGCATATATACTATACAGAAATTTCTTTTTCCTTCATCACAATTTCATGGATATAAAATTTGTCTTAACATAGATCATAGTAACCTCAGCATAGGATTTCTTTTTTCTTTCCTTAAGTCAAGAAATTTGACTTTTTCATTGAAAGAAACCATTTAATTCTTGCATTCTGGGTCCGTTATTAAGTAAAATAAGGGTTATAAACACAAGCACTGTCACACCATGAGAGCCAAGCTAAAAACCAAGAAGGCTACGATGGGACTAATGGGTGGGTAGTGTTCACAGTGTGGATATAATGAACAAAGGGATGGTTCAGGTCTTGGGCAGGACAGAGCTGGGTTGTGCAAGATTTCATCATAATACTAAGAATGATACACAATTTAAAACTTAGGAATTGTTTATTCCCGGAATTTTCTAAGTAGTACTTTCAGACTGCTTTGACCACAGGTAACTGAAACTGTGGAAAGAGATACTGCAGATAAGGGGGCACTGCTGTACTAACTTTATTTTTGTTAAGGAGGTTTTTTGCCTTTCTCACATGGGTTTTTAAACAATAGCATTTGCACATCAACTTCGCATATCACCCTAGTTCTGGTCTGGATGTCCCTATGGCTCCAGAATTGTTATATTCATGGAAATTAGAGAGTCACTCTGTTATGTGAAGGGAGTCTCTGGAATGTAGCCTGAAGTAATATCCTTGCTACCTACCTTATTTTTATTTATACTGTATGTTTTTGAGGGTGGCAGGAATAATATAGGAAAATCACAAGTGC